TTTTATAATCAAACAGAATTCGTGTAATTGCTCCATTTAATATATTGATCAACTATGATGATTATGATGATATATAAAGGTGTTTGGAATCGTGGGCGCTTTTTTAATAAATGTTGTAATATAGGTGTTACTTCAACATTTAGCTCATTATGCTGATCTATGCATATAGAGATGCGTAAAATCTGGCCTTGATTTATGTGTACGTCTACCATTGTGTGAAGTTTTATCTTAATGCTTCCTTCAAAGGCGTTTATTCATTGTTATGCTGATATGGTGTCTAGTGTCACCTAATTATCAATAAACAGTTTTATTATTATTTTTCTCCGTTTTGCAAACAAAACAAGTATAAATGTGTAGTGAATAAACGGAAGCTATACCAAAATACATACATAATTAACAAAGTGACAATAAGAAGTAATAAGTGTCATCCACTAAGGCAATGTTTTGTGTGGCTTCCATTATTTAATAAATTATGATATGTCATCATCAAATCAGCATTTATTCCATCATGTCTATCAATATGCACAGTCATTCACAAAAGTTGGTTTTGATTTATATACACACCAATTGTTAGGGGAAGATTCATTTTAACGCTTTCTCTAATGATTGAACATTTATTCACTATTCTGCTAATGTAATAAAAACTAGTAACACTTAGTGTCAATGAATAAATAGTTTATCAAATACTTTTCTCAATTTTAATAACAAATTAAATACAAATATTTATTTAATAAATAAAAACTATATTCAACACATACTAAAACATGAATATGGGTCGGATCTGGATTGGTTACCACCTAGGCACCTACACCGCCTCAGTGGATTCGGTGTGAAACAAACCCATAAAGAACTTGATCGGTTGACATTCGAAATAAAAGGGCTTAGCCAGTTAGCCCACAGTGTACTTACATTACATGAATCCTGGTGACGATTTCGTTGTTTTCTCGTTTAGTGAGAAGCGCGTTGTTTTTCTTTCTCATTTGTCAATGTGCTGCACGGTTTCCCAGAAAGGTTCAGATTGATGCAATTGGATTTGTATCGTTCAAATTTCAAAGTGATGGGACTAGGGATTTGATCATAAACACGTAAACAACTATACAAATGTCATTTAGAAATCCAATGGAAATGAATATTTAATTTGATCAATTTCTGCTCAAATGAACAAATCTTAAGCGTCCGATTGGGAACCTAAATAAAGTGTGTGGTAGGGGGTGGGGAAAATTACTCTTTCACCCCCACTTCCCAACAGCTAAAATTTTTTGGGATGGTTGAGCGGGATCAGCTTCTTGCTTTTCGAGGTGGGACCCATAATACAGTCTATTTTTGAGGTGAAAAACTTCCATGTGGCCCCAATTGGCTGTCAATTACTTCACGGGCTGTCCTATGGGTGTAAGCAGCCTACTTATAAGTTTTTCGGACTCCCCTCGCTAAATACTTGAATTATTTATTTGACTTATAATAATTGAGTTCGTGTCGAGCATTTCATCGAGCCAAGTTTGAGTTCGCAATAACCGACCCAAGTCATCAAGCAGCCTGTATAATGAAACTCTGTTTTTAAATATATCTGTATTTGTAATATAAATAGATATTGGTGGTGTTTGACATCTATGGTAGATGCTAAGTCAGAAAAAGCGGTGGTCCAAAACAATTTTTTATTTCGTATTATTTTTTTTACTTTTACACCATGTTTTGAAAATTAGAAAATCATGGTTTGAAACAATACTAAATTCGATGTTTTCTTAGAAAACAGCCCGTTGTTACCAGCGGTGCAATGATGTGGTATCATTTTGAACGTTAGATAATATGACTAATGCTGAAAATGGTCTACAGCACTAGTACCAAACAAAGCCAATGATGTTTCTCCAAAAAAACAACCTATGTGACATCGTTGTTTCCAAACAAAATGARAAAACGATGCCATGTTCCCAACACAAATGCCAAATACCTACATTAATATTTTGGTATTAACTTATTTATAATATAAATAAATACATTTATAATTAATTTTTGTAATGCATTTTTATTTATAATATTTATAGTATTAAGGGAAATTACTGATCAGTATTTTGTACTTCGGCTTGAGTGACAATTTGGTCTCTGAACTTTAAAATGCTATAATCCAATACCCAAGCTTTCAAAATGTGACAATCCAGTACCTATCGTTAACCATTCTGTTAACCAGCTGTTAAGTGACATTTAAAAAATAAAAAATGCCCTTCTAATGCCATCTAATTCTCTTTATCAACCATCCAAACGTTGACAAAAAACTGAATAGTCTCAAATCCTAACCTCTTCTATTCAAAAAAGTTGGTGACTGTTTAGAAGAATCTAAAATTTGGGACCATTAATTTTATTGTCAATGCTTGCATAATGAGACTGTTTTTTAATATATCTATGTTTGTAATATAAATAGATATTGGTGGTGTTTAGCATCAATGGTAGGTGCCACATCAGAAAAAGTGGTGCTTCAGAAAACAACCTTTTATTTGATACCATTTTTTTCATAAAAAACGTTGTTTCACACTATGTTTTGGAAATTGAGAAAGTGATTTGAAACAATACCAAATTCGTTGTTTTCTCATAAAATAGCTTGTTGCTGCCAATACTGCAATGATGTGGCATCATCTTGAACGTCAAATAATATGATCAATGCTGAAATCGGTTCTACAGCATTGGTACCAAACCAAACCAATGTTGTTTTCCCAAAAAACAACCTATGTGACAACACTACTTCCAAACAAAATGAGAAAACGATGCCATATTTCCAGAACCGATGCCAAACACCTACATTAATTTTTTGGTATTAACTTATTTATAATAAATACATTTATAATTAGTTTTCGTAATGTATTTTTATTTATAATATTTATAATATTAATTTAGTTATAATCAACTCTAGTTAAGCCAATCTCGAGTAGTTCACTGACTCGAAATCAAATTTGAGCCCAATACCATGACATCTTACTCTTTTGAAAGGGCTGAGCTGAACATTCAGTTAAGTTAGTTCATTGTTTTGAAGAGTTCCAACTTTCAAATAAGCTTCCTGATTCCCCCAAGCCCCAGAAAATGACTGATTGACACCCCATTTAGGCTTTGTAGATTCTTTCACCAAGCATAACCATGTTAAGCTTTAGCCCTTCTAAACAGTCACTAATTTATCCAAAGCACTTTCAGTTGCAGTTGTGCATTGAGAATATCTTGTCATGAATAAAAAACATATAAATACGGAGATATTCTCAATGCACAATTGCAATTGACTCTACATATGGTGTGAACCTCATTTTTGTGAGGACTCAATCTTACTTTTCAGACTAGATCATTGAAATTTTGAAAAAAAAACCCTACTCGAGCTTGCCCAAGTTGCACCCCTACTACAAATTAGTAGAACCAATTTAGCCGAATCTTCAGTTCAGCCCTCCCAAATGGACCCTAATTCATCTGAAGCACTTTAGAGCAGCTTAACGTGATGCTTCCTTAAAGCTTTCAATCCTTTGACCCACTAACCGGCCCAACCCTATCCACCACTAGTGCTGTCAATGGGCGAGTTTGGGCTGAGACTAGCTAGAACTAGTGTTGGATTTTAATCTCATTAGAGATTAAATCCAATGCGGTTTGATTGATCAATTACATGAAAAACACACCTACACACATGTCTTGAAAAATAGTTTTTCCTCTCACTAAAACCAGTTTTTAATTTGTCCCACATTGGAAAATAACAAGACTTATTTTGAGTTTTTAAATAAGAACTTATTTACACTCCTTAGATATAAAGAGGAGAGTATGGAGGGCTTGTTACTACGCAACACGTGTACAGTGCGGCGCAATGAGGTGCTTTAGAGGCCTTTTGTATGCATGCAAAAGGCGACTTTGACTTTTGGTGCAAAGTTGACCATTGATGTTTTCAACGGGCACGATTCTATCAGGTGTAATCAAGAGGAACAATTCAAAGTTTACAATCATTAACAGTTAACTACTTTTTTTACTTTTTTAACAGTCACAATGTTTGATATTGTAACTATTCAATGAGCCTTTTTTTGAACCAACACCTTTCTCTGCTCCATAACTCTTTAGAAATTATTTAAGGAGCATGAATCAAGCATTTACACACAAGTTTTCGAAATCACTCATGTCTCTCTTAGTCCGATTTTCTACTGTCTCAYAGAAGGTTTCTTTGGATACTCTTCAACTTTGCTGGTTGCAGACTCTCGCCCAAGGCTCTGTTGTATCCTAGGAATGGATTTGCCTATAACCCAACAGCAAACTCAATGGAACTAAGTGGGGGCAAGTAATGTTCTAAAGACAGTGTCTTCATACGCGTCTCAGAGTTTTTCCTCCAAGTTTCAGTGACCCCATTTCCAAACAATTGGAACTGACCTAATAGAAAACACAGAGGACTCAGAATCGAACTGAACCCGATAGGATCTATAATTTTTAGAGCTAGAATCGAATCAATCGGTTCTTAGGATAATCAGGCCTAACCCAACAGATCCGATTATAATAAATAAATAAATACGTTTAATATATATTAAATATTATATATATGTTATACATTATATATATAAATAATTTATTTAATATGTATGTATTATTTGAATATAGCTTATATTAGATCTGAATCGATTTGGGACTAGGTAAAACCAGTTCCGAATCGATAATAATTGGGACACTATATCAAGACCCATAACTGACCTATCGGTTCTAGTTCTTGGAACCAAAACCGGTCCAATTGGTTCGGGTCTATGGGATCGGACCCGACCCATTGACAGCCCTATCCACCGGTACACCCTACTTTTCCTTGTTTACATTATGGTTTGACTTGAGAATTTGAATTAAATTCCAATAGAGAGGGGCAGATCACGCTTTTGACTTTGACTTAGCCATTTCTCTTCTCTATCCTTCGCTTCATTGGAAAATTTTTCAAACATTAATTTGAAACTCAATCGTCTCTATAAAAGGACTCGGTAGCTGGTTCCTAGTTTGTGTAAACAAAGAACCCAAATATTCAAGTATTGAACTACATCTCCATTTCATCTATCTTCAACTCTGTACTCAACTGCGATGTCGGTTTACGGGATTCAAGGCCAGCAACTTGAGGTTACAGGTATATAGACACGAACTGATCGATCGAATCCTCCAGTCCCAGCATTAATTACATTACTGCAGCAAAATATCATCGATCATCTCGTGTTTCTGGGTTTCTGTGTTTCAGTTGTAGGACACAGAATGGATTTCAAGGCAAGATCCTTACGTTTGCCTTGAGTATGGAAGCACCATGTTCCGGACCAGAACCTGCACCGGTGTGTTTAACTCCGTCCATTCATTGATCGATTATCCATTCGTGATTATTAATCTGGTCTCCATTGATCGATGCTTATTCAGTACTATTTCCAACTCATTTTAATTCCTTTCTCATTTGGAGCACAGATGGAGGCAAGAACCCCACCTTCCAGGAAAAGTTCATCTTCACGCTCATTGAAGGCCTCCGGGAGCTCAATGTCATGGTTTGGAATAGCAACACCCTCACCACAGACGACTTCATCGGCCAAGCAAGGTAACCCCAAACACTACTACTGTAACTAATATATATTGTTTATTTGTTTCCGCATGTTCTTTATATGAATATGAGATTATTATTAATTACACCTGCAAGAACACTTCTAGCAAATCTTTCCCTACGTATAGCGAATCAAAAACTTCGGTCTCTTTTTTCTTTTTGTGGTTTTTGGTTAATTAGGTTCGGTTAATTCAATTTTTAAAAATTTCTGTTCCATCAGTTTGGTTTTCATTTTTTGTTTCGGTTTTTAAAACTTTGATTTATTTGATTGGGTTTTTAACCAAATAAACTGAAATGTTCACCCCCTACCATCAATACGTTACATACTATTAATCAGGACATTTACCAATTTTTAAGGCTACGTTTGATTTCAGTGGAAAAATCATCGATGGAAAAGTCAATCAATCGATTTAAAATTCAATGGACCATTGGAGTTTTTTTATGCGATAATTGATGTAAATAATACATCGTTGAAAATCAATGTATTATTTACATAAATGCATGTAAATACAAACCAACAATAAAGTTTTATGTCGATTCACATTTACATCTGAAACAGTAAAGTTTTATGTCTTTCGTAGATGTCCTTACTTCATAAAATTTAAAAAAAATAATGTATAAGTTCGGCATTTATAGAGTTGTCCTATATATATATATATATATATAGAGCAATCAAAGTTTGAAAAAAAACTATTCATGCATATATCATCCTCATCATCAATTTAAGCATTGCCCAATTATATGGTATCAGCTAAACAAATTCCATCATTTCAATATCAGTGGACTTTCACTCCAATGATAAGAGAGGAAACAACCTCGTTCACCATAGATGTTAAATAATAATTAAGTAATATTTAAATTATTTATATTTATCAACACTAACCATTAAAAGTCTGACATCAAATTCAACACGGCCCAAGTTGTACCCCTAATTACGGAAAGAAATTAAGTTTGGATGGTCAAAAGGCCATCCTTTGGCCACAATGAACAAGGCAGCGTGTTCAGCTATATACACGTCTGGCATTGATTGACTCTCAACTCTCAAGCAAAAAACTCTATATAGCAGTATTCCAAGCAACCTAGTTGGTCAGCGCCAATCTCAATGAATTGTGATTGGGGATATTACATCAGCACCCCAAAGAATATGCCTCAGATATACATCTTAGCGTGTATTGGAAATATCTCTTGTTATTGGGAGATATTTTGATATACAGTGATGTTATGCAAGGTTCTTGAATCGTTGTTGATTCAGACAGTCGGACTGTTTGATTCAGAAATTGTCTGCAATCGGTTCAGTTTTACCCTAAACCTGAGTCTTGGTCAAAACCCACTAAAAAATCAACAATTCATTAATCTAAGCAGTCAAACTATCGATTCATTCAACGATTTTTTTTTTTTTTTTAATTCATTTGTCAGAATGAACTGTCTGCTTAAATCAGACGATCAGACTATCGACCCAGAAACAGTGGTCATAACAATTTCATTTTCGGGTTGTTTTTTAAATCGTTGATTTAATGAGATATATCCTGTGGGGCGCAAGTTGGGATGTGCTGTGAGACGCCTTGTGGGGAATTCATCCGAACTCGTAGAAAAAGACCAAAACAGTTTCTGTTCTGTTTTGCCAGTTTCCTGGTAAATGATCAGAGATTAGAAAACTGCGAAGAACCCTACTTGATAATTGCCCAGCATTGTAATTTGTAGCATTCCTGCTGTGGCGGTGGTAAAGTCGTGAAAGAGGCGAAGCCACATTCAAAAAAAAAAATAGAGGCGAAGCCGCCCTCGTGTTATTTGCACTCCCGACGTTGTCGGCCATCTCTCTCATTCATGGCTCTCTTTAATTTTGTGAATTTTGATATTCAGGCCATGGACTCGATCGTGCCGTGGACGTGTCTTTCATTATAAAATAATGGAATTTTTTATTATTAATTTATGGTGTTTTTGATTTATCAGAATAGGGGTGTGAAATCGAAATTTCAATTGTTTGGTTGGGTAGAATCAAAATCTCATTTTCATTTTTAATGGAATAGCATTTTCTCATTTGAGGGAATGGCCATTTTTCTTTTTCTTTGGAATGAAATTCCACTTCAGATTATTTCAATTTCTGTCTCAATCAAACAGCCTATGGGAATGGACCATTCTGATTTTGATTCTAGGGGATTACAATTCCACTTCTGACCATAAACAAAATGGGTCCTTGACATATTTAGATTAAAGACTTGCATTCCCATTGGCCATCATTTTCCATTAATGAAATTTGAGGTTGATCAGAAAAGGGCCCAATTCATTCAATTCCAATCGTTTGATTGGATAGAATTAGAATCCAATTTTCATTCCTAGTGGAATGGTATTTTCCCATTTGAGGGAATGAAAATCTCATTTTAATGGATTTCAATTTTGATTTCCATCTGAACCAAATAGGAAGGAGAATAGAATATTCCAATTCCAATTCCAACTGCCAACCACACAGACCCTAAAATACTAAAACTAAAACTAGAGCTAGGAATAGTGGTAGGAAATGGCTGATTAATTCTTCTCTTGTTGTTTCTTTTGAAGTAATTGAAGTCCCTCAGGACTAGAATTTTGCATGTGAGGAGGAGTGAAGTGGGGAACACCATACCTTTTTAAAATCTTAAAATTTGCACAATTTTGAATGAACCAGTGGGATATCTATTTCACTCTTTAGGCAAATTTAATTATTAAAATAATTCATACAATTTATAGTCCCAAAATGTGCCTCTTAATATTTAGTTAATGTATAATGGGCATTTTAATACTAAACAAGTCAGAAAAATGTAAACCAAATAAAGAGGTCTTCAGATCAACCTCAACTCTAATATGTACCAATCTCGTCTGATTGTGTTTGCTTTTGTTTATAGGATTCAACTCCAGAAGGTCCTTTCTCAAGGTTTCGACGACACAACATGCTCAATACAATCTAGACATGGCAGGTAATAAAGCATATAAACTCAGAACAACAAAAAAAAGTTCTTCTTTTACTTTCTTAAATAATTTCTTTTCATCTCAAATATACTTAATTAACAACTTCACATCGGTCAATGAATATAGATACTCAGGAGAAATTCGACTCATATTGCACTATCCAAATGCGAATGTAAGTTCCATTCCTACAGTCTCTCTATCAGACTTTCACTACTCACAAGTAACGTTCAAAATACCGATACACCTGATATGCTGACAGATGCATATCTAGCGATGTCTATAGTTTTCTTTTTTTTTTTTTTTTTTTTAATTCAGTTCAGAGGGGCCAGTTTAAGGTCTATCCACCCCCTAAACCAGTCAAAATCCTGATACACCCTCTATAAGGACATCCCGATACATATCAATACTTTGAACATTGCTCAAAAGTAACAAGAATATGAATATAACAGTTTATTTGGTGTCTATTTGCAGAAATCATTTACAAGCTATAACATGTCCGCTCCACCATTAGGGGCTGCAGCATCTCCTTACCCAATAGTTCAATCTCAGTACTCTTCTTACCCACCAAATTCAACAACATATCCACCATTTACATATCCTCATCTCCCTCCAGCTGGGTATCCTCCTCAGTCATACCCAACAACAACTTATCCTCCACAACCCTACCCACCTCCAGTGCAATCCACAGTTTACCCACGTGCAGGTACCATTCTCTAGCTTTTGATCATTTTGTTCTATATATATAATCAATCCCATCTTACTGTCAATTGCTTTTTCTCTAAAAATTCTTATATGTTTAAGGAATTTTCATTTGCAGCACAATATCAAGGAGTTTATCCCCCACCTTCACCACCCTACTGATGAAATGTGCAGTAGTTTCATATCCGATGGCTGAGGTTGTGGTCATTCTTTATTTCTTAACTTTCCTTTAATTCTAATGCATGTATTTTTCTTCAAGCATTGAGTGTTAACTTTTTCATATCCACATGGATGTTGATAATAAAGATGAAAGCACAAAGGATTTGTTATCTGTGTTTACATGGACATAAATTCCAGAGTCCAAGTTTTGTGGAAAGTGGATCCAAGCATTTTGTGGTCTTGTTGTGATCATGGTGTCTTTGTATGGAAAACGTAATCCAGATCAGTTTGAGCAGGGAGAAAACTCGAAGAAAATTTTGTTAAATGATTTTTAAGCAAATACATTAGTTGATGCTAAATAGGGTTTCTACAGAATTTAAATCATGTTAAAGTCATCCTCAGCCATGCAAACAGATATCTAGAATTGGATGAAAAGCTTGACCAGTTCGATTGGTTGTTTGTATATTTATAACATTTGTATGTTTTCGGATATACACAGAGTTTGAAAGTTTGAAAAGTGGTTACAACAAAGCAAATAAGGGATGAACTGAGATAATTAAGGCCCCATTTGGCGTGTCTTTCCGTGTGATCTTTCGGCTGTTTACAAGCCGGGTAGACCACGTTGCAGTCTTTTTCTGTTTGGTTCGTAACAGATCTAGTCGCCAAAAGTTGGTGCACTAAAAAGACACGAGAAGCCCATTTGGGGCTGATTTCCAGAAGCTTCAAATGAAGCTTTTCACGTGGTAGCCAAACTAACTTCAAGTTGCTCAAATCTTCATGCAAAAGTTCAATGCGTCTTTTGGCTGTCAGAACTACCACAAGATCTTCCCAAAAAGACTTGACAAATAGCCCCTAAATAAAATCTTGTTAGTAGACACATTGTAGTCTCATTGCACTAATGATGTGATCAAGAAGAAATTCTCTCAACATCCCCCCTTCAAGCGTAGTGTGGTCGGGGACACGGTAAGCTTGGAAAGGAGGTCATGAAAATTAATGGACTGAAGGCAGCGACACTTTGTTGAAGATATCAGCAAGCTAATCATAACTAGGAATTAATGTGCTGGAATGGGATTAATAGCACTCATGGTGCAACCTGCCCAATCAGCATTAGAGTATGCGGTCAAGATAAGAGAGGAGGAAGGACAGAAGATGATGCCATGTGTAATCCTATAACCTTCAAATAACACAATATCCTCTTCATAGCAGCCCAAGGGATAGTAGTGGGATCTTTTATAAACTGGCATACTTTATTGACTGCAAATGATATGTCAGGACGTATGAGAGTGACATTATTGTAAAGCACCAACGACTCTCCAATATAAAGAGGTTCACTGGATGTTAAGTCTAATCGAGTAAATGCAACCACTGGAGAGTGAAATGGGCTTAGCCTCATGCATTTGGGCCCATGTAAGCAAGTCTTTGAGTGTATTTGTGCTGGTGAAGATGTGTATACCAATAGATGATGGACTTCAAATCATAAAAAAGTAGTGGGTTGGGTCAAAGTCCGGCAGAAAATTCAAAAGAGAGCCATGTAGACTAAGGCTATTTTTGGTTTGAAAGAAAAGGTGAGAAAAAGAAAAGAAATGTAGGGAAATTCATACAAAGTTTGTAAAGGTTTTCTTACCTTTCCTTTCTTTTCTCTACTTTTTCTTTCAAACCAAACACAGCCTAAATGAAAGAAGAATCAGAGCCTATGATTAATATGTCATCAACATAAACCAATAGAATTGAAAGGGTAGCATCATCATGTCTAATGAAGACATATAAACAATGTAGGGGCTCTTGTTTGAACCCATATAAGAAGTTAATGCAGCATACATGATTGGGAAGCACCTCTCTTAATTTAGAGAAACAACAAGAAAAAAATCAAGATGAATGGTGGTGGGTTTCACCACGGGACTAAATGTTTCATCAAAATCCAAGCCTACCTCCTATATATTTATTACCTTTAGCCACTAAACGGGCCTTGAACCTTTCAACAGACCCATCGGGCTTCTGTTTAATTTTATAGACCCACCTATTTCCAGCTATGCTCTTGTAAGGTGGGGGAGGTACTAAGGTTCAAGTATTCACATGAATTAGCAACAATGGTTGAATAATTGTGCTAATTACATTGCAAACTATTTCCTCATTGGGCGATTTGGCACCAAAGGATCCATTTCTTACTAATAGTATCTTCAATTGTTACTAAATCAATAAATTGGCAACAAAGCATATAAATTGTTGTTAATTATATCTTTGATTGTTTCTAATTCCATTAAACCTTTAGAAACAATCATACAGAAGTCGTAGTTACAAACATATTTACCACATCAATAATTGAAGAACATAAGTTCACTTTAATAGATGAGATAAGCTCAATCCTATGGCAGCCAAAATAAGTAAAGATGCCTCCAAATATATTTTTATTTTTGTTGGGGTGGCTTAAATTTAAAGTAGGGATGTCAATGGTTCAAGTTTGGTACTAGTTTTGCTTAACCCAAACTCAACTTGATTGACTATTAGGGTGTTTGGCACCTGAGCGTTTCACAAGCATTCCATTTTTGTTGATGTGTCATTCATGCCACATTGGCAATTAAAAAGAATCAGTGGGACAATCATATTTGGCAGTCCCATTTTTCGAAAAAAAAAATTGCAATGGTTAGATCTGGGATTTGGGATAGGAGGGGTTTCTTAAATCGTTAAATTGACGATTCTTTAATCACTAAGGTGATATAGCACATTGAAATTTGAAAAAGCTAACTTCTTTTTTGAGATTGTCATATAGTTGTGTTTTTCAAAAAAACATATGAAATGAACACTTGAAAAATCAAAGAAAACGAATGCTTGTGAAACACTTCGGTGCCAAACACCTACTATATCAAACCTAACCTAACTAATTGAGTAGTCAAGTCATTAATCAAAATAGAGTCAACATGTGACATCATAATTAAGATAATAAAATACAAAAATTGAGGTAAACTATGTAAAATCGTTAAATACATATCGAGAGATGTTAAAAAAATATTTAAAATACAAAAAAAAAATGAAGAAAACCCAATGCTTCGAAGTTTTAGCATTTGTGACATAAATGTACTTTCATATTTTTAGAGTTGGACTATGATACTAAAAATCAATCAACCAATGTCATAAAAATGAAAACTAATCAATCGATTTTGTTACAAGTTAGCTTAGATTTTGTTTTATAATTAACCTCGGGGTAAAACAAACTATGGGTATAAATTCAAACCACACTAGTCCTATGGTTTTTGAAACATTCCAAGCTGAATCAATCGATTAATTGATTTACCGGTTGATAAATATATAAAATATTAATGCTAAACTTTTAATTTTTATATTTATAACATTTAATTAACATAAACAAATATATATATATAATATTATAAATAAATAATATATGATTATATATATATATATATATATATATATACACATCAATTTATCTAGTTAACCATTAGTTTTTTCTAGGGTAACAAAAAATTGAATCATCCCTTTGGTTTTTAAAAAGTACCGAACCGATCGATTTTGTTAACCAGATATTTTGATTGGATTTGGTAATTTATGAGCACCCTAATATTTAACCCCATAATTACTTATTATAATTATGGATAATTGTTGCCAAAAATAAAAAGTTTAGCATTAATTGATTACTAATGTTATTAATTGTCGCTAATTGTTACCAAAACCCAACAAACTGACAATAGTAGCTCGCTAATTATAGTTATTAATTATTTTATTGAAAAAACTTTTGTTGGTTATTAATTAAAACAGATTTAACTATTGCTAATTATATAAAGTAAAAAATAGTGCTTCTCCCCTCGCGCACTAATGCAATCAGTTCGGGACTCTTGCGCTTTGACTTCAAACCTTTCCCTCCCCAAAAGTAATTACCTAATTTCAGGGAAAACTCTTCCAACCCATCGCTTTGCATCTCCCTTCTCCAGAAGAAGCATTTGGTATAATTAAAACAGAAAAATAGAAATAAAATAATAGAGATATTGAGAGAATAATTTGATTAACTTGTATGTATTAGGGTTGAATCAATCCTATTTATAGTTATAGTGGTTGAGTTATAGGGAGACCGTACAAAAATAAGAGATAAAGCTTACCTAGGTTAGTTTAGGGTTATATAGGATAATTCTTATCTGGAGGTAGGATTAAGATTATCCCAGTTTGTTATCTTGAGATAGGATTAGGAGAACCAAACCTAGTTGGTTAGGTTTTCTTGATGGGCCTGAAGACTTACGTGGGCGTGCATGGGCCATGCATGGGCCCATGGATGTCTACGTTATTATCCCCCCGCAAGCTGAACGGGGTGACGAGAAGCTTGTCCCAAAGATTGGTGAACTGAGCTGTGGAGAGAGGTTTGGTGAAGATTCTGCTATCTGATCTAATGTTGGAACATACCGAATTTGAAGCTACTTCTGAGTGACAAGGTCATGCAGGAAATGGTAGTCCACCTCCACATGCTTCGCACGGGCATGAAAAATGGGGCTTGGCGGCCAGGTGGGTAGCACCCATATTATCACACCAATGAATAGGGGGAGGAGCTAGARAGCCAATGTCTCGTAGTATAGAGTTGGCAAGAGATTTGAACTCGGATTCGGTGCTGGAGCGAGCAATGGTATGTTGCTTTTTGGAGCTCCAAGAAATCATGTTGGAGCCAAGATAAACTGCATAACCCCCTGTGGAACGTCGATCATCAGGACAGCTGGCCCAATCGACGTCAGTGTAAGCAGTCAATTGTCGGGAAGAAGATCCTTGAAAATGAAGATTATGAGTGAGAGTGCCCTTGAGATAACGAAGTATTTGCTTTACCACTGTCCAATGTTCATCAGTGGGAGAGTGAAGAAACTGGTAGACTTTGTTGACTGTGAAGGATATATCCAAACGAGTGATGGTGACATACTGTAGAGCCCCAACAATGCTTTGATACTCCATGGGGTTAGATAAGGGCTCACCGAAATTTTCTGAGAGTCGGCCAGAGGTGGACATGGGCGAGCTTACAGGTTTGGCCCTTCAAGGTTGGTTCAATGTAGTAGATCCAGGATGTAGCGCTGTTGGGAGAGGAACAAACTGCCAGATTTGCAACTTACATCAACCCCCAAAAAATAGTGGAGTGACCCTAAGCATTCTAATGGAAAAACTGAGGAGAGTGACTTGAGAAACCCACTAATAACAGCAGTAGAGTTCCCAGTCAAATAATGTCATCAACATATACCAGCAAAAGTAGGGTCATCTGTTGGGAGGAGAAAATTAACAAAGATAGATCAACAGAAGAGTTGTGAAATCTCATCTGTTTGAGAACAGAGCTCAACCGTGAATACTAGGCTCGCGACGCTTGTTTTAGGCCATAGAGAGCCTTCTTCAATTTGCAGACATGATTAGGGTATCTGGGATCAATGAACCCTTTTGGTTGATTCACATAAATATTTTCATCAAGGATGCCATGAAGGAAGGCATTGTCAATATCCAATTGATGAACTGGCTAGTTTTGTGCAAGAGCAACGGAGAGGATTTCCCGTACAATTACCAGTTTGACAATTAGACTAAAAGTATCAAAGTAATCTAGACTAGGGATCTGATTAAAGCCCTGAGCAACCAATTGGCGTTATAGTGATCAATGGTTCCATCTGCCTTCTTCTTGATTTTGTATATCCACTTGGTTCCGACTATGTTCATGGAGGGATCATAGGAACCAATTGCTAAGTGTCATTTTTAATTAGTGTCTGGTATTCTTTATGCATAGCCAGTTGCCACTTTGGTGATTTGGTGGCTTGGTTAAAATTTTTAGGTTTTTGATCYGGTAGGAGAGTGAGAAGAGCAGACGGGATCGAATACCTTGTCGCAAGTTGGGACCGAGTAAGGGGCTATAGAGTTCAGTAAATCTTGCATACTTTGATACCTTTGTGGCCGATCAGAAGAGGGTTGTTCCAAAGGTCCCGAGTCTGGAGAGGTGGTCGCTGAGTTGGAGCTGGATGCTGGTGCAGACAAAGGCTGCGATGAAGGAGGTATCGGCGGTGTTGCAGGTTGCAGAGGTGCAGGACCTAAAATGATAATTCCGGTGGAAGCAAGAGTTGTGCTTGGCGGTGCTTCAGGAATTCCCAAAAATAAGGTTTCATAAAATACCACATGGTGAACTATAAAAATACGCCCTGAAGGAACATGGAAATACTCGTACCCTTTGTGAGAGGTACTGTAGCCAATAAAAATGCACTGAAGTGACTGAAATTGAAACTTATTCTTGTTGTAGGGTTGCAGAAAGGGATAGCACGCACACCCAAAACAACACAATAGAGAGCAATTAGGAGCTGTCTGAAAGAATTTCTCATAAGGGGACATACCATGTAATACCTTTGTTGGCAGTCAATTTATCAGAAAAACTATAGTCGATCGATGTCTATCCATTTTTCGAATTCAGGGTTTGCAATCATCTCTGTACCGTCTGGATTGGGTATAACTTCAGATGGTGGCTTCTTCTTCCTTTCTACGAGTTACAGTAGATAGTGGTGTCGAAGAATGGGAAGGAACTGAGCACGCCATAGTAGGTAGTTGTCGCTTCCTAAATTGATAGGAAGATAATGAGTGACGTTCTGGATTGAAGGGAGCACACTACTTGACATTGAGCCATTGTTGAATGCTGCTGGGCTGCTACGATATGTGTCTGTCTCTGTCAACATGGCTCTGATATCAAGTTAAAATAGGAAAATAGAAATAAAATAATAGAGATATTGAGAGAATAATTTGATTAACTTGTATGTACTAGGGTTGAATAAACCCTATTTATAGTTACAGTGGTTGAGTTACAGTGAGACTGTACAAAGATAAGAGATAAAGCTTATCTAGGTTAGTTTAGAGTTATCTAGGATAATTCTTATTTGGAGGTAGAATTAAGATTATCCCAGTTTGTTATCTTGAGATAGGATTAGGAGAACCAAACCTAGTTGGTTAGGTTTTCTTGATGGGCCTGAAGATTTATGTGGGCGTGCATGCGCCATGCATGGGCCCATGGACGTCTAAGTTATTAGGTATGTTTCTTGTTCACTTTATTTGGAATATGCTTTTTTCATCTATAATCAAATTTGATGACTTTTACTTCTTTGTCATCTTCTTCTCTCATAATAACCTAAATGGGGATTCCGCAAGAGGCATAATGAAAGCAGGAGGAAGCACATATAAACACTAGGCACATGTCCTTTTTGTGGAAGGGTGCTCATTGTCCATTATGTAGGCCTCTCTACTCCTCTTGTGCCAGAGCATTGCACGACAATCTTGCCCTTAGGCTCAACTTTTATTCATATAGGTTTGTGATCTTATATGTTTATACATGTGCCCTTCTTAGGCTCATGCTTTTACATGAATGATTTGGAAATGGATATATCATTTTCTCTTCCATTTTTAGGTATTTGGAAATCTCTTGTTTTCAGGATTCCCTATTTGTAAGCAAGATCTGGAGTGGATATTTGGGGGAGTTCCAAAATTTTTCCATTGGTGATGGGACTTGATGGTTCAACACACCTTGGTTTGTGAATAGGACGAGCTTTGATCTCATTGAGGCAGACATCTTCTTCTTCATCTCTTTCATTATACAAAGATTTTTTTCATCTTAACTTTTTTTGGGTGGTAGAGGCTTTGCTACACAAGAAATAATAGGTCCTCCGAAGTCCAAATATTGGCAACAACTTAATGGAGAAGAAGAGAAAATCATGTCCTCTAAACCCTATTTTGGGCAGCCCACATGGAGCCCCTATACATGCTGTGGAGACCAACTGCTTTTGTACTCTTTCATTGATTTTTCATGTTCTCATTTTTGTCTTCTTCTATTGGTAGGCAGCCCTACTAAAACTTTCATTTGAAGTGATTTGAGAATATAGTTAGTGTAGGTACGTAGTGCTTGCTCAAGCCATCAAAGTACAGAAGACACCAAATTGATACCACAGGGATGCTTGCGATGAGTTCATAACTCATCGGTTACCTACAATGAGCTTATAACTCATCGAACGGTCGTGATAAACTTGTACTCGACAAAAGCAAGAATAAACGCTGGCTAACGAGGACCCGCGATAAAGTTTAGACGTGTGTGGTTCTGCGATAAACCTTGGACACGTGCGGTTCTGTGATAAACCTTGGACACGTGCGGTTCTGCGATAAACCTCGAATGCATGTAGTTCTGTGATGAACTTCGGTCGTGTGTGGTTTTGCGATGAACCCAAGACTATTATAGAACTATGGATCACTGTGAACCAGAATTAAATATCGATCGCACATGTAACTTTAAGTCATGCGTGTGATTAGGTGCCACAAAGGTTTAGTAAAATACACCTGTTATAGTGAGGTCACCAATGCCATGTCGGTTAAGTAGCTCACAAAAGAAGTAGCATACGCAGATTATGAGAATCCTCAAACGAAAGAAAAGTCAATCCTTGAGAGATCTCATAAGACACGTGGCAAAACCCTAGCAGTGCTCCTTAATGACCAACAGTGAATCTAATATTCCCTTTCCTAATGGGAATTAAACTCTTTCAGCGCCTTCCTTTCGAGACCTTGGGACCCCTCCTTATAAATAAGAGTCCAACCCATGATGAGGAATCACCACTCAAATCATTCAATCTTCCTACCCTGCTCCTTTATCACTTCCACTTACCCTAATCTCCAAGCTCTAACCCTGCACCCAGTCTTCCTTCGTCCTTCAAGGAGACCCCGAACGTAGCCTGACCACCACACTTACAGTTAGGGTTTAATTTGTTATAATTTGTGATCTTTTTATTCATTAAGATTTGGGTGATGAATTCATGCTTAGATTTTTATTTTTTTTTCAAATATTTTGGATCCATTTTGTTTATTCAATTCTGGTGAAGTATGAGTGCTTCTACCAACAATGGAGTTCCCCATGAAAGATGGTGTATAAGAGAATGTTCAACCTTTCATTGCTCCAACCATGTTTGTAATAGCACTAAATTCAAGGTGATGCACCCTGATGTTGAATGCCAGCATTTCTCAATATATAAATATAGTTGAATGACTTGTTTGTCGGACCATGACTTGTGGGTTTACTGGATTATTAAAAAGAAAATGCTAGAACATGGTCTGCAAGTCAAGCATTTCTATAGTATAAATAGTGTTTTTTTTTTCTTTGGTACCTTACATGTTTGACATATGTTTCCACAATCTCACTATTGCCTATGCACCTGCTTATGTGCTAAGGTGACAAGGTGGTAATATGTAAACCAAAAAGAGCTTGAGTTTTTTTTCTTTTTTTTTTTTTGGAGGGGAAACTGTCTATATCACTTTTAAATGATAACTAGTGGGTATAAGCTTTTCTTTCTTATTTTTTGATGAAGTATTTATTTCTTCTGCTAACTTTGATCTTTTTTTACTATTAAGAAAGCTAGGGATCATCTTCTACATATGGAGCCTTTTAAGGACACTAACCTGAGAAGAAGAGGAAATGTCCAAAGCTTTTGTCTTTTGACTATGAGTCCTTGCTGAAGCAGATGGGTCATAGGGTAAGGGGAAAATTTTCAATTTCTACATGCAAAGATAATTGATATATTCATTTTCAACTTCTTTTATTTTTAAATTTCTCCCTTTATGTTCCCATCTTTCTTTTTCTTCTTCTTCTTCTTTTGGAATTATGCCTATCAACTTAAGGCATTTGATTATTAGATTCTCCAATTCAAAATGAATTTGTCTTTTCAGAAAATACACATGAACTAGAGATGCATGCATAAGTGGATTATTGCATGCTTTTGTAAGTATGAGAAATCAACAAGCATTTTTATTTTATAAGTTATGTTTATTATACTATTTGTTTATTCCAAGATGTTTATAGAGATTGTATTTTTATCTTCTAAATTTTGAAGATGCCTTTGAGCAAAGATTACAAGCATGCCATTGTTTCACCATCTTTTTTCTATAAAGATAACAATCCATTCTTATTG